CCTCATTATACTGCTAGACTTCAGGTTTCTTTATCACATTTTCCAGTAGATCACCATAACTTCCAGTGTACATTTAGTGTTAGATTTACCTCTGCTAAGAAAAACATTCACTAGCTATAGATGAAATTTATCAAATTAGTAGAACTTGGGAAAATTCCATTTTGCCACCCATAGGGATTTTCAGCATTATATTTATTAAATTTTGTTTGATATAAATTGCTTAATTTGCTGTAGACTTTTTGTGAAATTTCAACTTAAGTTTAATCAGTTAATGTTTTTTTTTTTTTTTTTTGCTTATTACGTGCTCCACCCTTGGGCACTACACAGAAAGGGAGGGATGTCCCGTGGAGGTCTTTTTAAGGGAAACTGGCTCGTATCCACGTTACACATGGGGAAAACCACGAAAACGCCCATGCAGCCAGCCCATTCGCCGGGACTCGAACCCTGGAGCGAACTACCAGTGTTCAGTGGCTTTTACCGCTCGGCCGCTGGTGGGCATCAGTTAATGTTTGTATTTAACTTTGCTTCACATTAACATATGGCTAATTACTAAGTTTTTCTACACAATGGTATGTACAGTACTTAGCTGAATGAGTAAAAATGTTTCAGCATCCTGTTGCCTAAGTAGTGTTACATTAAAAGTACACCATGATCATCTGTCTTGGAACACGGCTGCAAAACTGAAGAATTTATGAAAATGAAGAAGAGTCATTGTCATGTAGTCAAAGATTTGAAAAATGGTAGTTTATCCTAAATGTTGTTCATAGTGGCTGAATGAGCCAGCTGTTTTTTTTTTTTTTTTCCTCCATGTTTACCATAAATATGAACCTTTCATTAAAACAGCTCTGCATAACAGCATTCTTTCCCTTAGGTAAGTAATCCTCTTGAGAGTTTTACCACAGTTCAGCAATTCTTTGATCTAGGAAAATTAAAGAAAGTGACTAATTTTCTGTTTGCAGTTCTAATTTGGTATACAGAACAGAAGTGGCTTTAACACATTGCCAAGCTTTTATTGTTAAAGAATTTTTTTTTTTTTCTAATTATCTACCTCTCCTCCTGAAAAGTTACCAACTCATTGTGGATTAATTTTTTGCCAACATGTAAAAGGTGACAGCCAGTTTGAGAAAGGTGGTGCAGGAAGCATGCCATGAAAGACCATTCATTCAATAAAATTAAAGCAAGAAATGTTCTTAATGAAAGACTTGGTTTTCTGAAGAAATGCCTTATGTAGTTATTTTTTGCGCTGTACACAGCAGTCTATTTTTGCTCTAAAAATTAAATTATATAAATTTAAAATTTAGGATTCTGCACAAATTTTGATCCATGTAATTTGATGGCTTAAGGAGTACAATTTCATGTTATGGGGATTTTAGCATTCTGTGCTATTTGGGAGGGGGAGGGAAAACCCTATCAGCTGCGAAATTCTGCAGTTCCGTTTCAAGTCCTAATGTTCTAAAAATAATAAATTGAACTTATTTTTGGGTTTTAATGTTGTATTATAAAGATACAAATTCTGAAACAAATTGCAGAACTCTAGCCATGTGTAAACAACAGAAATGAGAAGTATTTTAATGTCTAGCTGTTGTAAGTGAATTTGTATTAAAACACCATGTTATATTACTATCATAGCTTATTAAGGTTGAAATTTATTACATGTTCTCAAAAATAATATGAAAATATATATTAAACCAGTTGAGTTATGTTTAATGAAAACTCAACAGTATAATTATCACTTTTAAATTGTAACTGTAATGAGAATGTAGGTATGTAATGTTATTACCAGCAGTCTTTTTACTTTTACCCAATTCTGTGTTTTAAATCTTTCCAGCATGTAATATTCATTCATCAGCCCAGCAGAACTGTCGCCCCCTTTTTTTTCTGCAGTGTACATTTTAAATGTAAAAATTGACACATTTCGTAGGCCTAATATGTATGAAAGCAAAACATTTCATTCTTAAAACATTCAATTATGAAATCCTGTCAACCGTGAAAGTTGGTGGACATGTTGCTAAACTTGTGCCATTTATTCTGGCAGGCATTTAAAGGAACTGATATTTAGTTAACCCCTTCATGCCGGGTAGCGCAAACGCGCTTATCGCGGAGGCTGCCAGTATCTTACGCAAGCGTCTGTCCAGGGCCGGGGGGCTCTTTTGCTACTAAGCCTAAATCCATGAAATTTCCAAAGTATCAATGCATTGTTTAATAATGCTCTATAGAGTATTTAAACGGCTTATGCTTTATAGATATTTTTATACTATATACTTTAATTACCTTATTTCTTGTTTAAATGCATATTTTACAAATTTTATTTTCATTACTCTCCATTTTATGACTTTTAACATTATACATCTGAAAACTAAATATATTACTTAAAATTATCTTTTCGTATGAAAAATTTGAAAACAGGGATCTACACACAGTCCTGCGTTACATTCCTTGCACTCGTAATAACTCATTTGCCGCTTTGGAGGATATTTCCAGGAATGTGAACAAACGAAGCATCGTCGTCTCATTTTCTTATCAGTCTCTTCTGAACAAAGTTTTGGAAAATGTCTTTCAGTTAATCTTTCAGAATCAATATCTGAAATATTTTGCATCATTTCTGCTATTTCATGCTCTGTTAAACATTTTCGACACTTTGACATTGCAACAGTAAAAACAGAAAGAATTCATGTTTAACAAGATCTAATTATTTTCTAAAAACTGAACCGAAATACCCAACGCTGTAGCGCAAATAAAACTTCTCTACTTACAGTAAACAACTACCACGTGCAAATAAAGTGCGATTTAAAGAGACGTCATAAATCACGCTATTCGGAAACATTTATTTCCTCGTTTGTTTATATAATCAAAAACACGTGTATGTGAGTCATGCTTCTCTCATTTCGAGTAGAAGGTCTAATGTACATGTATCTGAAACCATATGGACATACAGTGCCAACTTGTGGCAGAAATTATAGTTTTTCAAACATTCTAGGACACTGGCACAAATACGTGACAGTCGGTAGTGAACGGGAAAATGCTCTGCCACGCCTGCGTGTCGGCCGGAAGGTGAGTGTGTTCGTTGCTGGCACATAGACGTGACAGTTGGCACGAAGGGGTTAAATAATTAATAGATACAAGTTATGTATTTCACATGAAAGAAACTTAATCACTTATCATAATTTTTCTTATTTCATTGCCATTCTTTATGCATTTTCAAGTAAAATTGCATATTGTGCCTATTAATGTGTACTGTTTTTGTTTAATAATGCCAGGATCCTGTAACTTTGAAAAGTACTTTTATTATCAGGACCAGATTCAGAAATGTATGTATATAAGCATGTATGGATGGACGTATGTGTTCATGTGTGCAAAATGTGTATCTGTGTACATATATACATTTGTTCACTTCTGAATCCAGTCCCGTTAACAGAAGAGTGCCCTTTAAAAATACTCTGTTCCTTACTGTCCTGTAAAAGGCAAGACATTCTGACATATTTTTTCCCCCCATATTTAAATTCGAGGGGGAAACAGACAAATAGCAACCAACTTGAATCTTTCTTTCCAAAACGTTTATTGAAAATTAAATCAGGTTTACACAAAATCAAGGCAAAGATCTCATGCTTATGATATGATATCGCATTTGTGCATTATTGGTGTAAATTGCACTGTTTGGTGGCATTGTCCTGTATCTGCTGTGTAATTGCTTAGTCTTTCATTTCTTTATTTCTTCAGGGTTTCTTCAGTTTCTAAAATAGTCCAGCTGCTTGAGCTTTGTGGTTAGTTGGATGCTGAATAGAATGCTAAAATCAGGCATTAGTGCATGCATCTGAAAAGGAATTTAAATAACATGAATATTACTCAGAATTATAGCCTTAATTTTCTTATTTAGTTTTAAGAGGTGTTCATTATCTTTTCGCATATATGTTCCCTTAAATCTCCTGAGTATTTAGGAAGAAATTGAATGAAACCAGCAAGACAAAATGTTGGGAGATCCCCTTGTTAATTATTCATTCTAATATTAATAAATGTAAAAATTCTGTAACTCTGTGGGCAAAATTCAGAGAGGAATGCATAAGAACTGTTTTGATGGGGCAAATACTGGAATAAAGATTATCAGTTTAAATCTAGTCAGATGACATCTGGTAGCTTTGAGGCTTCACTTATTGCTTAAGTCAAATAGATAATTGCAAACCCTCTTCCCCAACAAGGCAAGTGGAATGCAACAAGTGCTGCTACAGCAGGTATCGGAACTTAGGGTAGCAAAAATTTTAGAATTTACAAGAACAAAAACACTAAAAATTAGTGATTTCAGAATTTTTAGAATTTAGGAAAGGCATTAGATAGAAGAATTTCAGGATGGCAAGATTTTTAGCATTTAGTGAGGTACAGGGCAGCAGAATTAAGACTCACAGAAAAAAGATTGCAGCGGGTCCGGAAATGCATTGTGCCAGCTCTTGCTTCTCCCACAATCATTCATTGGCTGAAAGTGTGATCCTGGCCAACATCAATACAATGTCAATCAATGTGTTGTACCACAGAGCAACTCCCTAGCCAACAGGTGTTTGAAATTAATGCAGAAATTTCAGTTGGTCTAGAGAAAAATTGCATTTATGACACACCTGCTTCTTGATATATTCTCCATTCCTAGACTTTGCAAGAGAAGGAATATTTGTTATTATTTTATTTATTTTTGGCTAGTCTGGAGTTTATTTATTTTTAGCTATTCTGATAGTCTGGAGGTCGGGATATTAGATCGTTCCAGATATCGGATATTCGAACTTTTTACTACATAAGTCAATTGTAATTTTATTTTGAAATTATTCATAATGTTTTACTGCTATGGGAAATTTGTTTTTTTTTTTTTGCAATTTTTTATAAAACAGTATATTTTACAATGCGTTGCTCTCTCCTTCAAATATGCTAATGGTAGAACATGTAAATAATATTGAAGCTTGATTTTTAATTTGTTTTCTATTCAGACTTCTTACTGTAAAAATGGTAATTTACTTTTGCAGGTAAATCAATGGAGGAAATTTATGTGGTTGCAAAGTATGATTATGAAGCACAAGGTAGTCAAGAACTTGATATAAAAAAGAATGAGCGGTTAATTCTCTTAGATGATAGTAAACATTGGTGGAAAGTTCAAAATTCAAGGAATCAAGCTGGATTTGTTCCCTCTAATTATGTAAAAAGAGAAAAGCCGTCAATTTTTGATAGCATACGTAAGCGTGTACGTAAAAAGAATGAACCTAAAGTTTCTTCTCCATCTTCCAGAGTTGCATCAAAAGAGACTGATTTGAAAAATATTGCGCCTCGAGTTACAACTCCAGCAAATAAAATATGCTTGAATACTACAGCTGTTGTTAAATATAATTATGAAGCACAGCAAACTGATGAAATATCACTTGTAAAAGGAACAAGAGTTATAGTTATGGAAAAATCTAGTGATGGATGGTGGAAAGGTGAGAGTAACAACCAAATTGGATGGTTCCCTTCCAACTACGTTCAGGAAGAACCTAAAGATGTTCCAGAAGTTACATGCAATTTACCTGTTGATGAAGAACCTGTCACTGTGACATATCAGAATGTCTTGCAAGGGAATGATATTGTAGTTGCATTATATACCTTTAATTCCCAAAGTGATGAAGAACTCAGTTTTCAGAAAGGTGAACAATTAGAAGTTGTAGAACGTCCACTGAATGACCCAGATTGGTGGAGAGCACGAAATAATATAGGACAAATTGGTCTAGTGCCAAAAAATTATCTTCAGATAGTATCTCCTGGTCGATCTGTAACAGATTCTAGTGATTCTGATGCTATCCCTTCAAAGGCTGATGAAGGCCCCAGTATTGCAGTCAATGGATCACAGCATGAACATACAAAATCACCTCTAGGGGCAAGTGGAGGTTCACCTTTGGTTAAACAACGGAGTAAAGGAAGCTGTGATAGACCCTGGTATGTAGGGAGTATTACACGCAGCGACTGTGACAGGATGCTCAATGAATTTGCTGAAGATGGAGATTTTGTAATCAGAGATAGTGAAACAAATGTAAGTTGATTTTATTTGTAATTAAACATAAATTAATAATTGTGGCCATTAATAAAGAAAGATGTGAAAATAGTTATGCCAAATTAGAAAATTGTTAGAAAAACCCTGATTTTTTTCCTTCTGAAGTGTGTCTCATTTAAATGAAGTAAAGTGTTAAGTATATAGGTGTTTTTTTAGAAAGGTTTTATAAATGATTTTATGCTAATATTTTTCATATTATTTAACCCTTTGAGGGAAAGTATATAAAATAATTGTGGTAAAATTGTGCATAAATAATTGTGGTAATTGTGCATAAATAATTGTGGTAATTGTGCATACTTGTGGACCATAAAAACACAAAATTGAGACTTTTTGTCTCGATTTTTTTCAAGTCTTTAACAATTGGCCTTCAAAATTCAGTGAAATCCTGAATTTGAGGGCCGGTATGTATTTTATACCTGTGCCCTTCTATAAGACATTTTTTTCCACAGGTAGCTGCCAACTTATTAAATTTTGTCTTTTCATCTATATTTTTGTATACTTGTGAGGAGTATCTATAGAGATGAGTGCTTGAATATAGTTATGCGAGTTTCGGGTCAATAACTTTTTAAATGTCGCTAGAAATTTAAAATTTTAAAAATAAAATTTATGTTTTTTTGCACTTTGATGATGCCATTCAACTGAACATGCTTATGTAAAATATTAGTAAAAACTTTCAAAAGTGATTTAAATTCAATATTATTATTTTATGAAAAAATTTAGCAAATATAACACTGCATGCGTAAACCATATCATGCTGTAAATTGAGCTAGTATGATGTTACAAGGAGATCTCTGGCAAACAAGACAACTCTGGCAAAAAAAAAAAAAAAAAAAAAAAAAAAATTAATAAAATGGAAATACTACAATTCAGCTGAAAAATTATGTTACATTTTTGAAGTTATTATATTTTATGCTGTAGATAATATATAAAAAGAGCTTCGTGCTATGATAGCTAGAATCACCCCCCACCACACACACACTTTTGATTATCGGTCCCTTTTTAATTTTTTTGTGAATATAGGTATATCATTTTGTTCAGGAAGAAAAGCTGTTAACCCTTTGAGGGGTGGTATATAAAATAATTTAAACTGTGGTAAACTTTTGCATGAACTATAACTTAAAGACTTTAAGGACACAAAATTGAGACTAGCAAAACCCTAAATTTTGAGAGCCGGTATATATTTTATACCGGCGCCCCTCTAAGACATTTTTTTTTCCCAGGTAGTTCCCAATTGTTAATTTTTGTTTTTTAAATTGATTTTGCGTACTTTTGATGTGTATCTGTAGAGATGGGTCTAATAGGTCTAATATAGTTATGTAAGTCTGAAGACAAAAACTTTTAAAATTTCGATAGAAATTTAAAATTTTAAAAATAAAATTTATGTTTTTATGCACTTTGATGATGCAATCAAGCTGAACATACTTATGTAAAATATGGGTAAAAAGCTTTAGAAATTATTATTTTATGAAAACATTAGCAAATATAACACTGCATGTGTAAACCATATCATGCTGTAATTGAACTAGTATAATCTTACAAAAAGATGTAATTCTGCTGAAAAATAAAAAAATAAAAAAAAATTGAAAAATGAAACACTACAGCTCAGCTAAAAAAGCATGTTGCAGTTTTGAAGTTATTACATTTTATGCTTTAGATAATATATAAAAAAGAGCATGCTTCGTGCTATCATACCAAGAATCGTCCCCCCATCCCCAACACACTTTCAATTATCGAGGTTTGTAAGAGCCCCTTTGTAATTTTTGTAAATATAGGTTGTAATATATCATTTTGTTCAGGAAGAAATGCCATTAAATGATTTTATTATTTCATACACCTCAAAGCCCTTATTTCGATTTTCAACACCTTTGGCATCCTAGGGGCTCTTTATCAACTTTTGGATAAATTCTAGTTTGCATCTAAAACGGGCCTTAGAAATATTTTCCGTCATTTCAACAACCGTGAAATTTATTTCAAAAACAGCCTATTTGTAACCCAACCCTAAATTTCTCTTGCGTTCCTTAGTCTTTCATCTCAAATGAAAAAAAAACAATAAGAATAAAAGCATGCTTTAAAATCAGCAGTTTTTGTGATTACACTAAGAGATGGACCTTAAGTGCACTTCCATTTCCCGTATTTTTAAGTGAGCTTTCTCTTTGTGTGATCTTATCACACCACACAAAGGGAAGAAGGCTTGACTCCCAAATGACAAATCAGTTGTCAATGACCTCCTTTCATTTTCGTTGGATTCTATGATTTTGGAAAACACGAAGCAACAGGTGTCTTTTGGGGGCTAACATGCCACATTTAACCCCCACAATTGTGTAAAATTTTGACCCCAGAAGGCAATTTTGAAATCGACGAGTCTCTTGGGTAAGGGTGAAGTGCTGAAGTTAAAATTTTAGCTAAATAGAGAGGAATGAAACTCGAGCAGAGAAAAAAAAGAAATGTACTTATCTTCAGTCCTAGTGGCGGGGTCAGTAAACTCCCCATCCCGTCATGAACATAATACTGAATCCTAAACAACTTGTAAGTTAATCATAAACAAATTATTACATCATAAACTATTATAATGGAAAGAAACGCTTTCATCTCACAGAGTAGAGAAGGAGAAGCCTATCTATTGGCAAGGTACCCTCAGTAGGGGCGCCGGTATATATTATATACTGGTATTAAAAATGCATGCATAATCTTCCTTTAATTACCAGTTTTCATTGAAATGCAGTAAATATAAAAGGTTCAGCATGTGTACGTCATATATTTACAGATTTTGAATTTGTTCTTTCCCTGCAATAGAATTTATCAATCTTCAAACATACCTTGGAACGAGGTATATTAATTTCATAACTGCAAAATATTGAGCATTCATGAGGTGGTGTGCTGCCATTTAGAATCGAAAGGAAATACTACAAACTTACAATTATAGCTTTTGGTGTAAAGAAATTAGCATTTTTTCATAGGCTAAAAAATTGACAAACTGGTATATGTTATATACCGGTGCCCTTCAAAGGGTTAAATGATTTTATTATTTGATACACCTCAAAGCTCTTATTTCGATCAAAACTGGGAAAAAAACTCAAATAGTAGCCCCCCTTTTTCCCTTCAAAAGTTAAATGTTTTGTATCTAAAACAGGCCTTAGAAATATTTTCCCTCCTTTCACCAGCTGTGAAGAATATTTCGAAAAATCTTGTACACTGCTGGCCACCCAAAGTGCAACACCAAGAAAGACAAGATATATCACAGCAAAATTTATTTAGTAGATAACATGTTGACCAAGTATCAAATGATTAAATTTATAGACCTCTGTGAAGGGTGGTTCCTTCCAGAATCGGTAGCCAGGGTAGCCGCCATTGTGTGTGATCACTGGTGCCACCTGCCTTGGCATTGATTCAAAGAGACTTTGGATGTGTTCTTGGGGTATAGCAGACCAAGCAGCTTCCACACATTGCCAAAGTTGATCTGGTGTGGCAGCTTGGGATGTAATCTGGGTCAGTCATTCAGCAACCATGGACCACATGTTTTCTATCAGTAAAAGATATGGAGAGCGAGCCGGCGAAGGAAGCAATTCAATCTGGCGATTGACGAAGAACTCTTGGACGATGCGTGCCATCCTGTTGATTATCCTGTTGAAATATGGCTGTGGGCAAGTCCTGAAGGTAAGGAAGAGCAACTGGTTCCAACACCTCGGAGATGTAGCGCTGGATGTTTAAAGTACCGGCAATGCGTGCTAGAGGAGTGCGAGGGATATATCCAATATCGCCCCATACCGTAATATCCGGTGAAGGACCAGTGTGGCAGTGCATAATGCAGCTGTTCAGCATCCTGTCTCCATGGTGTCTCCAGACTCGAATCCAACCATTGTGGTGTTGCAGACAGAAGCGTGACTCGTTAGTAAAGACAATTTCATTCCATTCTGCCGTCCACATCCTTCTTTCATCTCTTTATTGGCGGCGGGGACGTCTATGGTTCTGCGTCAAGGGTAGATGAAGCAACGGAAGTCTTGTGGACAGACCACTCTGCTGTAAACGGCGTCGAATGGTACGAGCATACACTGGGTGATGTGTTACAGACTGAATGTGCTGTGCCATGGTTCGTGATGTGACTGAGCGATCCTTCACTGCCATATGCACATTGCTCCTGTCATCACGTGAAGTGGTGCACTGAGGTGGATACGATCGAACATTTCGATCCGTCGTACCCACCTGCATCCAATGGTCACATATCCACATTACAGTTGTTTGTTTTCATCCAACACGACTACCGATTTCCCTGAAAGATAATCCACACTCTCGGTAGGCCACTATCCTTCCTCTGTCGAACTCGGATACTTGAACAAATGATGATCGCTGTTTACTACGAGGCGTAATTGATAATTTTTTTGAAACACCACAAGAAAAACACAATTTCCAAACTTAAAATCGTTGAAAACTCGAAGCCTTAAATAGGGCTTTGAAGTGACGCCACCGGCACGCATGATTTTCGTCTGCGCTGAAATTCTAATCATTTGCATATCTCACCTCCACTAATGCATGTTGTAAATCTCATGTTATTTGCATGCTTCCTTCAGGGTGTTGCATTTACAGTGGCCAGCAGTGTACTTGTACCGGGGGGGGGTGTTCCCTAATTTCTCATCTGAAATTAGCAAAGACTATACCCTAAATCATAAAAGCATACTTTCAGATCTGCAGTCTTTCCATTGCACTAAGAGGTGGACCTAAAGTGCATTTCTGTTTACCTATTTGTAAGTAAACTTTCCTTGTGTGTGATCTTATCACAGCCTCTTTGTGGAGATATGATTACAAATTAGCTGTCAATCACCTCTTATTGTTTTCCCTGCATTTTGATGCCACATTTAACCCTACAGTTGTGTAATGTCTTGACGTTAGATGACAATTTTGAAATTGATGACTCTTTATCCAAGGAAAGAGTGACGTGGTGAAATTAAAATTTTAGCTAAACAAAGAGGAATGAGAAACTTGAGTGGAATAAGCAATGAATAAAAAGAAACTAAAATACTTTTATTCATTCGTAGCACAGGGTCAGTAACCTTCCATCCACCATGAACATAATATTGAATCTTAAACAACTTGTAAATAAATCACAACTAACTAACTAACTAAGATTTATACCGCAGTTCGTGAACTTAATCACATTCTGGGAACTGGAATAAACCAGAAAGTGTCACCCAACAATAACATTGAACACTCCTGCTGGGCCCAGGGTCCCACACCCCTGAGACACCAACAATTTTATGGTACCCTCTGATGATCGCTCATCGATCAACTAGCCCACCGCTAAACATGGACCAGTCAAGACCACCGTCCCGGCTGGACCGAGACCACGGTGGGGTGGGCGATGACAATTTAGGGTCGATGACTGGCCGTTAATTTGGGCTACCTGCCAGCACTACACGGGATGCTCCTCTCCTTAGGCTTTACATGGAATTCCAAGGACAGCAGTGACCAGACTCTCAATGGTCCAGTTTGCTATTTGGCTACCAATACCCTGGTGAAGAGGACTTACACCTCCCAGCCCATGAAGAGCAAGTATAGACTTACCCCATGGACCATCGGGAACCGCCAAGTTAAAAAATTTTATACCCCCGTGGCCGAGACTGCCTAGGTACAGATCCTAGCCAGTACTGCACAGAGTACTCTACGTCGACCCCCAGGGGAGGGAAATAAATCATAAACAATTATAAAGGAATTATGTCATCTCACAGAGTGGAGAAAAAGGCCTGGTGCTGCCATCTATTGGCATGGTACCCTCAGTATGGGCACCAGTATATTTTGTATGCCGGTTTTAAAATCATATGAATAATCTTGTAACTATCAGTTCTGACTGAAATTTAGTAAAGATTCAGCATTTGTTGTACATTATATATTTGCTGATTTTGAATTTTTCTCCCTCTCCAATGGAATTTATGAATCTTCAAGCATGATACCTTAGAATGAGATATTAATTTCATAATTTCAAAATATTGAGCATTCATAAGGGAGTGCTGCTATTTAGAATCAAAAGGAAATGCTAGCAACTTACGATTGCAGCTTTTGTTGTAGAAAAATTAGCATTTTTGAGGAGTTTAAAATATTGACAAACATCCAGGTATATTTTATATATTGGTGCCCTTTAAAGAGTTAAAAGTGTTTCAAAATAGCTCTTTAAAACATTTTAACTAGGATTTTATTATGTATTATATAACAGGATCTAATCTTTTAGAGCAATGGTCGTCGAGGAAATTTTTGCAAGCAACTTGTGGATAAAATTTTGCTAGATTTTAAATAAGTATAATAAAACCAAAAATATTAGAAATAGATTTTAAAATCAGGCATATATTAATTTATGTTCCTTAGTGAATGTTTTAAAAGCAGGAAATATAGAGATGGACAGTAAAATTATACTAAAATCAAGAACATTAATGCTAATGTAATAAAAAATTATTTTGGCAATGAATCCATTTTTCATTGTCAGGCACAAGTCTCAATTATAAGTGGTTGCACAACTATTTGTACTTTAGTGAGGAATATCTGACTGCTCTTTTAAAGTTGTAAGGGCTTTAATTTTCTGGTACTTACGTATTAACGCAACCAGACAAAAATTCACATAAATTGGCAAATTTGGCGACCCTACTTACGGCAACCCTACGTAAGAGCATGTGGAGATTCACAAAATTTTCCTGCAGTTTCGTGCAAATTTTTGTAATTTATGAGAAAATAGCAGTGTACATGGATAAAGTCAAGAGTGTGCGCAATGCCATTTTTGTGCAATTCTGGGATGTTTTTTTAAGAAAAAATAAGTCGACGTGTACATGGTTACAGCGAATACGGTTTCCAATCAGTGCTAAAAGCAATAGCCAAAAGATTTCCGCCGAAAAAATAATTCTGCAACTTATTCAAATTCAAAACCGGAAGGGTTTAATTGCTATTTTATATTTTAAAACAGAATAATATAAAAAACTGTATTAAAAATTATCTGTAATTAATAAATGTACATTTTCTTTCTATTCATAATTTTTTACTCAAATTTACAAATCGCGCCAACCTGGTTGCGATAATACGTAAGTACCAATTTTCTTTTCATGCTAATACTGCGATGTATGCTTAATTTTCTTTTCATGCGATACTGCGATGTATGCTTAATTTTCTTTCCATGCGATACTGCGATGTATGCTATCAGTGAAACAAGTAAAGGAGTGTCTTCTATGTCATTCAGGTAAAAGTCTGAACATTTTTAACAAAATGTTAATGATCTATGAAACCTTTCTTTTATATGGGAGACAGATTTGGTATCTTAGTTCCATCTGTGACTTGTCAGATAATCTCGATATTGGTTCCAGATGGTTCTTTAAAAACAGTTTTATTACATCATGAAAATGAAAAATTATTTTTGTGAATTTCTTAAATTTTATAATCAGTTTAGAGTACATTTTCTGAAACATGTGATGAAGAAAACTGTGGCACTGAAGCTGTTAATTTTGCCTTTTCTTCCGGGTAACCGTTTGATTTTTTTTTTAACAGTGTGTTAAATTTTATGCATAATGAAGTCTTATACATTTAAAATTTAAATGCTTATGTGAGAGAAAATTTTCTGCATTTTAGGGGGTTTATCATTGAAAAAATAATACCTAGTGAAATTTTACAAAATTGATAGGTAGCTTATTCTGGCCCTTCTTATAGGAGTAAAAATGACACCGATGTTTTTTCTACCAGTTCAGTTTATTTCTGAAGATTTACTTTTTGGCAAATCCTATTTTTGTTTGTAAATCTCCCCCCCCCTTATAAATTTAAAGTAGCTATTCACTGTATTGAAAGATCTGTTAGAATACCTTTGGTAGGCAAGATCTGTGGACATGTGCTGGACTGCCCTTTAATAGAGTATAAAATTAGGCTTTTCTCCTAATTTTCTCATTTTGATCTTCTGGTTTGTTTGAGTATGGGCCTTTTTAAATTTTTTTAATCTCAAGTATAAAAGCTGGTCTTAAATTAAAAATTTAAAAACAGTCGTTATGAGAATCAAAAGACTGTTTTCAGTCTCTTGATCAGCAACAATTTGAGCAGATAAAATTATTAAAAAATATGTGCATTCAATATTTGGAAAGTTTAGTTTTGGTAAAGTATGCTGTTTAAATTGATTATTTTGAAAGTAATTTATTGCATCATATGTCTCTGGTTTTTTGCCACTAGATGGTGTTGATGCCTATATATCTGGCCATACTCATTCAATTGTCTCAGACAAACATGTGCTTAAAGTGTGACATTCAACTTCCATTGTTTGTAAAGATAGTTTTCTAATTAGTTTTTCATGTAAAATGGTATATTGATTTGAAAATGAGGGAAATATCTGAAGAAATACGCTATGTGATGCTTTTTTTTTTTTTACTATAAAAAAGGTAAAACTCATTGTAACAAGATACTTTTAAAATAAAAAGAAGCTTCTCTGTATACGTTAATTGTTTCTATAGAGTATGTAAATTATTAGAAGTGATTCCATTGCAGTGATGATATGGTTGATGTCATTATGCATAATTTGTCTACCAAATAAAGCATAACGTGTTCTGTGTTTCCTTTTTAATGTAAGTGAATGTATTATTTACATTCAGAAATCAAATTAAGAATTATTATAGCAGAACATTTGCCATTTATTGATAATAAACATTGCTATTGGTTTATTTATGCTTTATGAATATATTAGAATTACATAACAGTAATTAAAATTATGTTTTTACCCAGATATTTAACCTTTTAGTAATTGAATTTTTACTTTGAATTTAGGCTGGAGATTTCTCAGTTTCCTTGAAAGCTCCAACTAGAAATAAACATTTCAGAGTTCACATGGAGGATGGTGTTTATTGTATTGGGCAGCGTCGATTTAATTCTTTAGATGAACTTGTAGAGCACTACAAGAGAGCTCCAATATATACTGGTCCAGATGGTGAAAAGTTATATCTTATCAAACCATTCAGAAAACCACTTTGAGAAACCATGGCTGATAGTCTCAGTAATTGTTTCGTACATTTTTTTAAGACTGCTTCCTTTTTTTATCTCGATATATATATATATTTCATAAATTTGGGCGAAAATATCAAATAAGTGATATTAATTTTAAAAATTTATTTCAGTTGAAATGGATTTTTCATTTTTTTAGTCAAAACCTTGTATAAAAGTATGCTTTTATTAATGACTGATCATATATTACTGAAGTGATCTATAAAATCAGTAATATTATTATGTGAATTCTCTTAAATTGAAAAAGGCTGATGCAAGAGAAAAAGTTACAATTTCATAAAAGGTATATTAATGTGGGTTTAAATCAGCTTTATTATATTTTGTTGACTTTTAAAGTATTTATCTTTTTATTGGCAGCTAAGTTTATTCATCATGTGCATAGCATTGGTGCAGCTGTTTTTTAGTGAAGTTTTTACTGAACTCGACTTTCGCAGCTCTTTAATTCAGATATGCCAAATATACCATATTTATGATGGAGAAAGTTATTGTGTGATCACGGGTTGTCCATATTTAATATTTTCTATTGCATTATCATTAAAACTGCTATTTCTGAAATTTTATTTATGGTGCGAGACTGAAGATTAGGAATTGTGCATAAGTATGAACTGTTGTAATGCCAAACATTATAGAAGTTAATTTTTCTACAATATGATAAATTTAACTAATAGGCATAGTTTTAATATGTGAATATTACTTTGTAAGGAGCATGTTGACTCAGAAAGTATATACTTATTAATGGAGTTTGAATTAAAGTGCTTGGTAAGAAAGGATCACTAAATGTTAGTTTTTTGTTTACTTTTCGAACTTATCTGATTTTTTAAAAAATTTTACAAGATAGGAAAATAGGTGCCCAAAAGTAATTTTTTTACGACATTTTAAAGTTTTGTGCCTTTATTTATTCTTATTTATATGTTATGAATTTTTACCTTCAAAATTTGCATTTCTGCAATGTGTGTAATTTTATGTTTATTTTTATCATTGAGAAAATAATATCAAATGCTTTAAAATTGTGTTATTTGGAATTTAGTTAGAACTTTAATATGAAAGGCTTTGTATAACGCTGTGAGTTATAACCATGTTTATATAATTGTGTTGAAATGTACTTAATACATGTGTATATTTAAGAGGCATCTTAACATTATACTGACAGATTTAACATCAGATCATCAAAGAGCGAAGTTTTACTGTTTTTAAGTTTGAATTTTAACTTCAGTTTTATGCTTACCAGAGCATATATATTACATGTTAAGTGATGAAATTTATTTTTCTAATTTTAAATTCATACTTTACAGTGCTGTGATTTGAAATACCCAAACTGTTTTTCAGTGTTTACAAATTTTATGTACTGATTTTAATTATTTATTCCCCCTGAAACTATGCATATTTGTTTTTGAAGGAATGGTCTAATTGCATAGAAATATAATTTTAATTCACATTTAAAATTTTGTATATAAATGTAAAAAGGCCAAAAGCACATATTGTATTCCTTGTATGTAAATTGATCTAATTTCAGCCAAGCATAAAAAGCACCTTTTGCATATTAATATTGCTTACAGAATAATACGTTGTAAAGTTATTAAATGATCAAATACATTAAATTATAAACTAGTGGATAAACTGAATTTTATTTTAAAAAATGTGTTCATTTTACAATGAAAATAGACGTTTAATGAAAAATATTGATGCATTTAAATGGTAATGATCTGAAAGTTAGATTTTTTAAATATTTTAAAAAAATTTCTGTTAATGCAGCTAATATTTTTTAAATGTAAATCTCTGAATTTAAGAACATTATTTTATTAATGAAGTTATTTAAGCTTCATTGATTAAAAGTGTTTACTCTTCTTTATCTTATCAAGTTCTGTGTGCTGTTGGGAATTTGGTTAGTAATGCATTTTATGATTGCTGGAGCTAATCTGTTTCTGAAGTATCATATAAAACATCCATAGGCTGACTATTAATGCTGTACTTAAAATTTGTCATAAATGAGGATTAGCGAAAACAGTAATGATACTTTTACAAATATTATGTATACATTATTTCAAATAAGCATTGACTTCTGTTACTTGATAGTTTCTAAAATACAGTTTTTGTCTGCTGCTGCCTTTTTATTACATAGAACGTGTGCTTCAAAAGTTTTCTTTGCTGTGATATTTTTCATATATAATATAATGAAGTATCACATAATACGCGACATTAAATGTAAGTGATATTTGTAATTGAAATTTTAAAATATTGCATGGCAGTGGATTGGTAAGATAATATGCAACATTAAATATGATATGTGTAATTGAAATTTTAAAATATTGCATGGCAGTGGATTGATAATTTTTTTTTGGGGGGGGGCCCGAGAAAAGTAACAACTTTTAATAGATTAAAATTTATGCACGCGTGCACACAAGGATTGGAGAAGCTTATATGATTGAAAAAAGTGGATTCTGTTTTTCCATTTTGCTTTGCAAATTATACAAAATATTGCATCATGACATTCTAAAATGCCTGCATAATGTATATTTAAGTATGGAAAAGTCATGTTGCTAAAGTAACATAATAGCTTATGACAGTTAATATGACCAATTATATCTAATAACAAAGTCAATAAAATTTTACACCCAAGTGCATTTTTATGTAAATGTAGTTAATATATAAATGATGACGTTCACTCAGTTCATGTGTTAAAACATTTTATGCCCAAGGCTCACTGCTATTAACATGGCCTTATATAGAAGAAAATATTCTAACATCCTTTTTCTTTGGTAATATTTCTTTATGGGTTTTTGTTAATCTGTTTTTTAATAAACCTCATCTCCTCTTATTTGTTAAACATATCATTTTTATTACATAATTCTTGCAAGTGTAATCATATTAGCAAATTCATCTTAATCTTTTCAGAACACTGAAGAAATTCATGTGTGTGGACCTTGTTGGCAGTATATCAGTTAAGTTTAACATTTCAGTGTCAATATTTTCTTCATTCATCAAAATTATTTTTAACTTTATTTACCAAATAAATTTTTTATGCAAAGGATGCAACATTTCAAGTTTTATTTTGATTTGTTGTGTGGACAAAATTATGCAGCATGTAATGCAGCCTGACAGTGGCACACAGTGGTTTAAGAGATGTGCATTTATAGACTTCTATGCATTCTTAAGAAATATAAAATAATATTTTATTCTGCATGATCTCTATTTTTGCATGAAGGAATAAAGAATGTGAACTTGAATGATCAGAATATGTGGCAGCCACATAATTTTTTTCATTAAAAATGTCAGAGTAACTGAATTTGCCTTATTAACAAAAAAGGGTTTGTTCTCTCAAGGAAGAAGGTGGAATGTTTGGGACAAGTTTGCAAGAGTTTTGTTAAAAGTAGTATATTTTCTGTTTTCTCTAGTTGTTAGAATGTTGATTGTTTAATTAAATGTTTCAATACAAATATGTGCTGCAAAAATTTAAAAAAATCATAATGCAGATATCAGACGGTATGGCACAGCTGCCAACTCTCCCAGTTTTTCAACACATCTTCCGGCTTCTTGACAAATTGCAGAATCTCCTGGTTTTTAATTTTTAACCTTTACTAATAAGTGTTTTTCAGCAATAAAATTTGAACAGTTCCGTGTTTCATTTTTGAGTTCATTCTCCTATCTCTAGTGATCCTCAGCATTATTTTTCTCATAAAACTTTTTTTGATGTGAATTTCTTAATCTACTAAAGATGTTTATAGAATTTTATATGAAGATTCAACCAACTCAGTAAATATTTATATTTAATTTTACTTTACATCAGTGTCTAGAATTAAGTCTATTTTGGAACAGGAAACATGAAAATATATGCAGTGCCTTCACTGGGATTGGAAATCCAGACCTTCTAGCTTCTCATATCTCCATGTACTCCACAAAGTTTATTGGGGGGGAAGCTTTGTACCTAGTCTCCAAATCCTGGTAGTGATGAATTTTCATTCACCACATTTTAGTCAATACCACTATAAAGCAATTTTTCTAATTTTTAGAGGCAGGAGATGTAAAAAATATGCTGTGCCCCTTCTGGGCTTCAAAAGTTCAGACTTGATCGCTAGTAAAAATATGTGCGCTTTCCAAAATTAAAAGTCCATACCTGATTGCTAGTAGGATGTGCTTCAGGTATGCCTCTGGCACATGGTAAGGAGGGAGAAAGTACCTTACAAATATATGTGATACATTACTAAGTTTATCTGCACAATCATAATATGTACATTAATTACTAATTTTATTTTTACCATATTTAGAAGTACTCCGGTAATTTAAGACTTTCCTTGCCTATTCAGTATTTTCTCAGGGTATAAGAAAGTGTCAAAATAAAATTAGTGAAAGAACATAAAATGTTGAATCTGTAATTAAATATCAATATACTTCATTTCCGAATCATCATAAATAGTTGAATAAATTGAATCATGCTATAAAGCGAATTTAAATTAATTTTGAGATATTTTAAAATGTTGCAACATGAAGCCTTTTGGCAACTCCAGGTTTCTGATGGGTGAACTTCTCAGTTTTTCATATTTCAAGGTTTACACCTATGGTATTCTATGTCCCTTTTGAGATCTTTTCTCTTTCATTTTTTGAATGAGTTTTTCGTTTTCGGGTTTTTATTCATGAGGTGGTTTTTGTTTTAGTTGTTTATTTAAAATAATTGCAAAGTGAAGGTGACTGTTAATGTATTGATGGTATTTTTGTAAATTATATCATTCTGCATTTACATGTATATCAGGAATACTTCATTTTAAAATTTGTTGAGAGAAAATTCATGTGATTTGAGAACTCTTCCTTTGAAATAATGTAGCCAAAAATAACATATCAATGCTTAGTTGATTTAGTGCAGCAGTTTCATCATTTAGATAATGAGAAAGAAATTGGCTAGTTCATAATCATGGCATGCACGTGTGCTTTGATATTAAAGAGACTGCATTAGTAGACTCTTTCAAAAAATTTTTTGACTGGTTTATGTTGCATTATAGCATCGTACATTTATCATTGTGTAATTTGGAAGGTGTTGCCATTGCGTTAGGGCATATGATCTTTATTTTCCTTATAGTCTTACAAATACGTCGCTCTCAGAGTGTTACTAATTTGGCAAAGCAGATGGTCTTTATCTTTCAGGTCAGTCTGTAATACGTCAATGAAAATAATTGTTTAAAATTATTATATGTATTTCATAGTAATTTGTCTTTATTTTTAGAATAATATATCCAACTGATAATTTGCAAACATTTGCAGCATTATTATAGGTACTTATTGAGCTTGCAATATACTAAGATGTTTCTAATGCTACATCTTGCATAATAAGTACATAACCTTTGACATTCACTAGCAGTTGTATACAGCAGGGCATTCTTCAGGTTGGCATTTAGACACACATTTCTGGAGTAAAAAGCAGAAAAGAAGCTGACTGTAGAAATTGGTTTTTATTTGTGTTTAATTAATACTTTTGATGAAGGAGCTGTCATGACATTGATACTGTTAGTTTAAAAATTTAAGTCATAAAACATTATTGGCTGTTTCAAACTGTTAGTTTTACTCTATAATTAGTATCATGACAAGCGAAAAGGGATTGAAGAAATAAACATGATTGAGAATTGCTGTTTTTTTATTTTATGCAAACTGAAGTAATGTGTAAGGATTCACTTCAGATGATTACGTAAAGTGAATGCCCAGCACAAGTATGCAGAAGACATTTTGTAATAATGGATGATGTGACTGGTTATTATTTTTTTTATGTGGAAACCATTAATAATGTTTTATAGCAGTTATTGTACATAAAATCTCCAGCATTGGGTTTTAAGCACTGTTTTCTGTCATAAAAATATCATTTCATGTTATATATATATAGAACATTTGCCCTTGAAAACTCTCTCTGCTTTTAATTTGACTTCAATAGCAGAATTTATCCTACTAGCATCTTCTTTTAGGCTTTTTTTTTTTTTTTTTTAAGTTTGTTATAATTTTAAGAAGTAATTATCTTATGTTGTTGATATCGATAATTTTAAAATATTAGTAAAAGCATATGGATAGAATTCAAACTGTTAATTTGTCAGATTAGTAAGAGTATTGTAGCAGACATTATATAAATAGAATCAAAGTGTAACATACAAAGTAAACAGCAGAAGGTAGGATAGTGACTGAAAGGGGAAGAAATAAGTAAACAGAGGTAATGGAGTTTTAAAAAATTAATAAAAATTTTATATTATGTATGTATGCATATTGAAATAAATAAGGAATTTCATAGTGTATATAGTTCAAACTAAAATGTTTTAGTAAATCATGATAAATGACAATGTAATAATTCATACAGTCAAGGTTTCCTTATCATTCTCTAGGAAATGCAAAATTTGTTTTAAAAATCTGTTTTTTTTTTTTTTAATAGTGTCTCAGAATATAATCTCAGAATATGATATAAAATTCCCTAAAACGCTGTCTGCACATTTTTTTCAAAATAATTTTGCAATCATTTTCCTGGTTATCTTTTATTATTTAAATGAAAAAGTGACTTCTTAAAATAGAAATTATTACTTGTTCTCGATATGAATAAATATAATGTAAAAATCAGTTCAAAACCTAATCCAATTGCATGCTAACCGAAGCAGCAAGTGGTGGTAATAATGCAAAGTTAAAAAAAAGTATTCTCAATATGAATGTACATAAATCTTATTGATGTTGATTATCATGCCACAAAGAAAACTTTTGGTGCCAGTATGAAATTGCTTACTGTTTAATATGCAGTCTGATATTCAGTTGAAACCTGTTTTGAGCTAAAATTCAGTCTTCAGTGCATTCATAAGTTGTGACGGATTATGGGGATAAATGGTTCTTAAAAAGCACAAAACTGAAATAAAGATGCATACTATACATATAATGCTCAAATACATGATAAACCTGCAATCTCTTAAAAATTCGTTAATCAAGAAAAGTATTAAAAATGTGATGAAACCATGTGTTACTGAGATCATGAGATATATATCATGCAGCCAGATTTAGATTGGATAAGATTAACTTGAACTGTCTGTCTAAAGGGTAAAATGCTTTTGTATAAGAAGGCTGGGGTATCTGATTTATATCTACATTAAATGATGCAGCCACCTAGTTCAGTTGTGGGAATAGAATTCAGTGTTTTGTGTTTGTAAATTGCTTGATCAATGGTGTGCCAGAGAGATTCAAACTTAATTATTGTTACAAAATGAAGATTTTTTTGGCCTTGAAAGTATTATGATTTATGGTGAATTTGTAAATGAAAGTAGTTAATATTTGTTGTATAAAAAATGCATGGTTTATTCCTGAATTGCATCATGTGGAGGTACCTAAACAACTAGAGCTTCACTGAATGCATGATCAGTCATTTACATTCAAGGAACATTGTTTTTCTCATCTTTTTCTCATATAGGGAGTTTCAGGATTCTAATAAAGGTCAAACTTGATAATCTTCCATCAGTTTGTTTAAAAATATGTAAAATGGTATCTTGCCAGGCACAAAATAACTACTCAGTTTTTGTACTCAAATCATGATACGAAATACATGTTTAATTAAAATCATGTCATGAAAATTTATGTGCAGTGTTATAACTTTAGGTAACAAATTGCAAGAAATATGTATAATCAGGGCAAAAGTAACTTGAGAACAAACACAAAGCAGGCTAGAATAGTTAATTCACATTTTTCATATATTTCGTCTCAGAGAACATTATTATATCATTGTATCATACTATTGTTTTATGATCATCTGTTTCCTTTTCCTGTTCTTTGAGACTGGAAGGTAAACATTCAATCCACATGCCATACATATCTGTAGTTTTTATACTTTTCAATTTCAAATGGATTAGGAAAATAAAATTAGTTACTTGTTGAAAGTAGCTCAATAAAAAAGTTCCAAAAGTAGATTTATACAAGAACTAAAAAAAAATTTTCTTATAAGGTTGTTGTAACAAAGTAATCATTATGACTCAGTTTAAGTTAAAATAATTATTGGATATTGTTCTAATATCAAAATATGAATTAGAGAAAAAATTCTAAATTTAATTGTCTCTATGTATTAATCATAAATTGTAATCATAAATTGTCTCTATGTATTAATTTTTAATCTGATTTATAATAATTAAAAAGCTTCATGCTAAAATATCTTTATGGTATGTGTTGCCAGGTGGATGTACACTTCCTAGTATTTTCTGGTTAGCTTTGCTTCAGTATAGTTATATTCTGGTTCTAAAGGGGTGGAATATGAACACTTCTTCATGCACAAAACTTTTATGGGCTAAAGAACAATTTGTATTTTTTGTTCTCTAACACTGTTGCGTTTATTTCATATTTTATCCTATATGTGATGTGTACTTACTAAGTAAATCAACCTTACTTTTCTATACCTAATGCACATTTAATTTTAAAACATTTTTTTAATTAAAAGAAAGTGATAAAATGATGCCAAGATATTTTTTACTTTGTGTTATGATTCACTTTATTATATTTTTAAATGTGTATGTTTTGTAGAAATTGGAGGAGGTTCACATTATTTGTTTTATGTAAGTTTGATTTTATTTTGTTAATTACTTCAAATTAGTAAACTATATTGTGCCGCAAAAATTTAAATTTTAAGATTGATTGCAGTATATATTTGTGTGCGTTGAATAATTGTAGTATGTAAAAGTGATTTCATTTGTGAAGTATATTAACTTTTGAAAGCATAAGAGTAGGTTTTTTAATGTTTTAAGATCTGTTTTGCAATAATCTGAACATGGCTTTTTTGTGTATTTTGTGTTGAAACATATATGTAAAAAGTAAATGTTAATAGTATGTTTCCTTCATAATGGAATTGATATTTTTATATTGTAAAATGTCTAATTTTAATTCGGGTGCATATTTGCTATTTTGCTGAAACAGTTTTTAAAATTCAACTATCTGGTTAAAGCATCATTCTGCTGCCAGTGTATGTATTTCTGGATACCTATTCAGTATTGAGCTAATAAAGAGTGACATGCCATATAAAGCAGATTTCAGTCCTAATTACAAGAATTTTATTTGAATAATAAATGAGTCTTCTAACTGCTGAGGATGATTATTTGATAAAATAGGTTGCATTGTCTTCAACTTATATTGTGTAATAATTTACATAATTCTTGAAATTTTAAAAATGTAAAATGCTAATAGTACCCTCATGTAGGGCAATAAATGTAAATCCTTTCATACATGTTAAATTTCCTTTCACTCGCATTGATTTGTCATCCTGTGCACCAAGAAACTTTGAATTTTTATCCCGATAAATCTTTGCTGTTTTTAAAATTACAAAATTCTTCACTCCATAGAGTATACTTTTCTGCTCTAGTTTGATTTATGGTAATTCATCTGAGAAGGAAAAGTCATGAATTGTATGCATCAAAAAATAAAAATTTGATGCCAGTCCCTGCAGAGTATGGCTGCTCTCTTATATTTTTATCAGTATGTTACAGCTTAACTGCGAAAATAAGATATCCAGTTTTCTTGTTTTGATCATGTGCTTCAGTTCTCAGTTGAGTTACTCCTTTTATTTCATCGCTTTTACCATAGTTTTGGATGCTAAATTGAAGTATTTATGACTGAAATTATTATAATTCAAACTCAGTTGAGAAACAGTTTCATAGCTAAAATGCTTTTGTTGAAAAAATAATTTTTGAAACAAAGCTGTGGCTGTTACTTCAGATTTTTGTATGCATATTTTGAAAAATAGGTGAATATTATGTTCAGGTTTTAAATTATTGAAAAATGATTCTAAACAAAAACTTAATATAATTCCTTTTTGAAGTAGAAGAGTAAGAATGACAATGTTAATGTGGTTATCACATGATATGGGGGGGATAGGAGAAATTTTTTTAGATGTAACTTTAGCCTTCTTTTCCCATTGGGGAGTTCCTGGCCAAAATATATTCCACTGGAGGTAATGCCCTGACTAGCTATGTGTAACATTCTGCAATTGTGATGAAAATGTTTCATCTAAAGCTGCATTCCTCATATGTTTTCACACAAGTTAACCCATTGAATATCCTGAAGCGGAAATGGTTCTTCTACTATGCTGTAGCGAATAGGTAGTAGACGTGACACTGGTTTAAGAATGCAGCTGTAATCTGTGCTTTTAATGCTACCACAAAACACGTTTATCATTATTTACCAGAAGAAGAAAAGTACTGTCTAAGAAGGTACTATGTTCTAAACAGAGAATTGTGTTCTGGATATGGGCAGCTGGTAAACGATTTTTAAATGCATCATGTTTATCAGACAGTTGATACTATTTGGAAGTTGAATATTTTAAAATGAAATTTCTTTACAAACTTTTACTCTTTCCATTGACTCATTTCATTTGTCATGCCAATTTTAAGAAGTATGTCATTTTAAGTTATGTGTTATGCTCATGTGCAGTTATTGTTATGCATTTTAAATTTTAGTGTATCCTTTAATTTTCCTTTTTCCCTCTATGCCTGTATAATATTTGACATTTCTGTTATATTTGTAATTTAAATTGTAACCTTTCTGCAATTAAAATCGGTAGTGAAGAATTCCAAGCTTTAACTAAAACCTCTTTGTGGTTCTTAATATGTACCTTATAATTTAAACATGTCTTCTGCCAAAGGTTTTGCACATTGGAAGATTTTCTTGATGCCATTATTTGAGATAAGGATAGCTAGAAGAATGTCCAACTGTTTGTAATTCCCTCACTCAATTTTTTTTTTTTTTTACTAATATCTAACTGGAAAAATTTCTAGCATCTATCAGAGGTATTAGAAAACTTTAAACTCTACATCATTTTCATTTCCAGAAAGAAAGTAGAGTGTTTAAGAATTAACTTTGTAACAAGCTCAAATAATTAGAGATAATTGCTGCTTTTTTACTTTTCCCTTCTAAATTGAAGATAAAATATGTCATTTCAATATGGAAATCTCATGATTACTAAATAAACAGTTTAGTTGCAGGTTCATTTGTATTTAATTAATAATATGTAAGATATGACAATGAAAATCTTTACATTGTTTAATAATGAAATATTTTTATGGAAT